GCTCCGGGCCAAAGGCTGCAGCTGAACAGCAAACGTTTCCCAGGTGCTGGAAGGGACACGGGGTGGCTCCGAGGAGAGATGGGCAAGCGAGAGGGGAGCTGGAAAAGCACAGCTCCCCGAGGCTGAGCAGCTCTCAGAGCACCCTGCTGCCTGCAAAGTGTGCCGAAAAATAGAAAAGGCAGGGAAAATAATTATCTTTTCCTTTATTACAAGATACATTTGTACCCTGGTTGCACTCAGCAGACCCAAATGAGGTGTTAAAATTCACCATTGCAGCAGCAGATACATATACAGAGCAAATACTGTATAGACAGGCTTTGAAATAATAATCCACAGTATTTATCTACAGATAAAAAATACCCAGCACCCTCTTTCTCCTCCCTCCCCAAATTACAGCAGCAACATTTTACCTGCGAGGTAACTAATGCAACAAGTGGGGTATTCTTGCCCCCAGGGGACAAGGTGGAGCAGTCTGGTCACCAGCTTCAAGATCAACACCAGTCACCCCTCACTGCTGAATATCCCAGCTTATGTGCACGGTGTAAATGGAACATGCTGGGCTTTCATGTCTGCATATCTATCTCAGCCACATACTCTCTCTTCAACAGAATCCAGGGTTACACTGCAAGCAAGGGTTATTTTTTTTCTTTCACAGAAAGAGTAGGAATTTGTGAAACCATCCCTTTTTCTTCTACTTGAATCAGAGCAGTTTAAATATCATGCATAAAATCACTCGACGTGCTTCACACTCTGAACAAGCACAGTGATGTTCCCAGCAGCTCAAAACCTCTATTTGCCCCAGTGTCTTTTCTGCAAGCAAACCTGACAAGCACTACTGACAGAAAACACACCTTGTGTCACGTTCAGCTGTCCTGCAATTTCCAGGTGCCCAGGGCTGTGCAGGATGTCAGGAGGAAGGCATTTCACTTCCCAGCATCACACAAGCGCTGGTCAGAAGGGACCCCTGGAGGTGATGCAGCCCAACTTCACGCTGGAAGCAGCTGGGCCAAGCCCAGATGAAATCAGCCACCAGCCTGTGGGGACAGGCTTGGGACCCTCTGGGACAGGGACTGCAGTGCCTCTCGGGGCTCCTGCCCCACGGCTGCACTGCTCCCTCTCACCCGGCAGGATTCAAACCTCTCCTTCACTCCGACACTTGAAATACCAATGGGAACAAACAGCCCTGGGTTCCTGTTGTATTAGGTTATAAATAAATGTACTGCAGGCTTTAATTGTGGAGAACTGGCAGGGACTGTCCTGCTGGAACACACCTCGTGTAATTCCCTAGGAAAACAGATCTTAACTACTGCTGAGGATAAAAGCCACAAAACTGACAGCCTCCTACTGGGGAGAGGGGTTGGGGTGTTTTATTTTGCATAATATGTGGCTTGAAATAGGCCTTTACCAAAACTGAATTAAGACAGGAAGCAGTTAGTATATTCATCCATTTATTCAATCATTAATGACAAGTATTAAATAAAGTGTGGCTTTATTTAGAGATGCAACCATCTCTGTTTGGCAACCTGCAATCCCCAGTGATTGTCTTCCACAAAATCCAGATCACATTTCTTCCAGCTTTAGGTAAAAACATATTTGCATTTGCTTTAAACTTTCAAAAGAGCATCATCAGTCTGGGTTGCTAAACATGCATTTCTTCCTCTTTGGTTTTTATCTGGCCCTGGTATCTCCTCGGTGGGCAGCACCTTGCTTTGTTCATGTGAAAAGGAAGGGCTCCCCACTGCAGCTCCATAAAGGATTGCACTCACATCCGTGGCTACTGAAGGCACAGGGAAACCAGAAACTGGCCCCTGCCATCCCATAAAAGGCTGCAACCCCCTCCTGCCTGTGCTGCCACGGGATGCAGAACCACCGGGACACACAGCAGCTGCTTCCAAACTTTCGGGTGCCAACTGACCACAATCACATCTTAAAATTTCTTCTGGCCCACTCTGACATCCTGTTATTAAACTCTTATCCCAAAACACTACAAAGCAGCTGCAAAACATGTACCAGAGCCTCAGAGATCACAGCTTGTGAGCTGCTGCTTCAGCCACCACCAAACACAGCACAGGTGGAACCCCACGGTGCCATCTGCAGGGTTTCAGAGAACAATTAGACCTTTCAATATATTTTTAAAGGCAAATAAAGTTTCTTTCCTAGCTACAAGCAAATTTAAGAATGGTTTGGCATCTGGCCAGCTGATGTCTGCCCTGCCAGTGCTGCAGTGTGTCAAGGCAGCCCAGGTGGGGAGCACTACCAGCTGATCTGCAGTTATTGCTGTTAGCACACACAGGTAGGTCTTAAGGCTGTCAAAAGCAGGTAGCAAAAATGTATCTACAGCTTGGGTCTGGACAAATAAGGGAGGGGGGGGGAAATGTTACAAAGGAGAGATTTCATTATCTTGGAGGAGAGTAAATTGCACTAGAAGTATCCACTCTTTATGATACAAAACCAAAATAAATCCATACAGTAAAAACCTGAGATGTCTCATTCACCAGCATCAGAGTTCACATTGTAGCCAAAATAATGTTTCAAACAAAAATACTCCATTTTTACAGGATCATCAGTGTTCTTGGCTCAGTAAGGATCTTGAAAGTCAGCACTTGCTGTAGGTAAGATGTCTTTTCTGAGTATCTCTGGCTCCAGGATGAGGGGCACTACACACAGTAGTACCTTCCACTTGCACACTGACCTTCGGCCAAATCAGCTGTTCTGGAATCATGGTACTTTTTAAACTGAGGAACACTGCCAGAATCTGGCCATCTTACTTCATTTGCTTTCTATTTAGATTACACAACATTTATGTCCTCAGAAAGGTGTAACCATATCAAAACAATAGGCTGGAATACATCAACACAGCTGAGCCGGCTTGGTAGCTACACTACACTTTACAACACCTGAGGGTCTAGACCCTAATTAACTCTTAAACAAAGCTGTTGCTCAAGCAAGGGGAAAGAGGAAGAATCACTTGCTTCTTCAGAAGAGGATTTTGACCTGTGGGCTGCAATCCTTGTCTGTGTCACCAGACAGTGTCAGGAATGGTGAGCATCTGCAGCTCCCTGCCTTGCAGTGGGTTCTGATGAGATGAAAGATGACTCCAGTGGCGCAGAAAAGATACAGAACCACTCTATCACCTCAGAGCATCTTTAACTGCAATTCCAACACCACTTCACTTTTATTTGACCTTAAACAATGGACGTGTATGGCACAATTTGAAGAGCTGGGTGAAGAGCCAGAAACATGACTCCTATTCCTTGTCAGACACCTTGTCAGCTGGAAACATAACCAAGTGTGACAAAGCACTTCTACACTTGCTCACAGCAAAAGAACACAATGCTCACAACATCACAGGTTCCAGCTGTCACCAGCACAAGCCAAGTGGTGTCCTTTGGATACAAGCTAACTCATTCCTTGAGCTGAGGCCAACTGCTAAGATGAGGGTGGATTTTCATCCTGAGTTTCAAAAGGTGGTAGAGGTTCTCTCCAGTAGGTGAACTGACTGTAGGTGTCAGAACAAGGGAAGTCTGAAGAATGGCTTCTTTTCAGCAAAGGAAAAATGTGATCTACTACTTCACACAGTCTCACATAGCTGGAAAACAAACAAATACAAAGAATGCTGAACCATTTCTAGACATAGCTGGAAAACAAATACAAAGAATGCTGAACCATTTCTAATCTTCTGGCTTGTAATGTGTGCAACTCTCCAACCACTAAGGCATGGCTACATGGACAAGGACAAACCACCCTCCTTAGATGAATAAAACTGAACTTGGTTTTCGTTCCAGAGGGTTCAGATAAGAAATCCATTCATGCTGACCTATGATACTTACCCAGAAAGGAACACATGCCATCTTCTGCCCAATCACCTGCTAAAATAGTCAAGTCCCATATTTTGGGTCCCATTTCTGTCCAGCTTGGCTCAAGCACCTTCCTGCTCAACTGATGATTTGTATTTTATACCCATAGGCTCCCCTTCAATTAAGGACACTCTGAACATTACCAAAGGCCATTTCCATTCAGTGAGAGATGCCACCGTGCCTAAGCACCCTGCTGAAAGCTTCAGCCTTCACTTCAGATTGTTTCTGACTCTTCTAGAGAGGAGCTCCAGCAATAGAAAATATTGAAATGACCATGAAAAGGCAGATGACCTTGGGGAAGTACCCAGTCTCATTTTTATGCAGACTAAATTGTACACTGATAACTCCTTTACACAATTAAAGTGGGTGGAATATATTAAACAATTTATTTTTGTCAGTTGAACTGAAGGAAAGTGTAAAGTCTGCATTTTATTCTAAATTAGTTATGTTTGGTTTGAGATGTTCTAAGGAACCTTTCATTAATATAATCAAATCTCTGGGCAACTTAAATCAAATTAGAACAGCAAAATAACTTAGTGTGTAAGGTGTTGGGGGTAAGAGGTGACTTACGATGAGATGTTTGTCTTTGCATGTTCTTGGATAAGTTCTCCTTTGGGGTTAACTGTAAATATCCTGTTTAAAGATACTCCCACCTGTTTGTATGAATAAACATCCTAAAAAGAAGAGAGAAACAAAGAAAAAAGAATATCATGATTCTGCCTTTGCACAATAATGTTTATTCTTGCTGGAATATATTACACAGAAGGAGAGACGTGCACAGTATTGGTACCAAATGTACCCAGTTACTGTGCAGCTAAACTTCTCCATCATGTTAGAAACCAGGTCAGGCAGCTAAAAGCTCAAGGCACAGAAAACCTGCAGCCAAGGAAGGAGTTTGCCACTTCAGTTTCAACTATTGATCAAAATCATGCTCATTTTTGCAGCGGCTTCCCTTGGCACAAAACCAACACTAAACAAAAAACCAATGCTATTTGGTGTAAAAGCATTGGCACTTCATGTTTCCTTCAGAGAAGGAAAGAAACTCAAATGGTTAAGGAAAGCAATGAGTAAGTTTTGATCTGTTCTGGAGAAAAAGCTTGACAAAAGCTCCCAGAAGATCAGAGGAAAAACAAGCTTCCATCTTACTAACATAAATCGTGTTTGTAAAAGCTGAGCTGGTAAAAGACTGGAATGTCAATGAAGATAAAAAGATTGTTCTAATGTCTATCTTGTAAAGATTGTTCCGAAACAATGAAGTTACTGAATAGAAGTGAACAAGCAGTCACTTCAGGAACTCAGCACCCTGGCAGTCCACACAGTCTACACCTGTGACATCCCTGGGCACTGACATTTCACTGAGCTCACTCTGGGATAAAAAGCAGAGCAGAAAACCAAACCCAAACAAGCAGCACATGAAGCTGAGGAAGCAAGGACCGTAACTTCACACCCCCACGGGCACCTCCCACCCCTGAAGACTGAACTCCAGCAGTGACACAGGAGCTACCAGTGATTCCTTTAACAACATTAACTTACTGCTGAAAATACTGATTTTATTTCCCTGCAGTTCACACTCCAGCAGTGACACCGGAGCTACCAGTGATTCTTTTAACATTAACTTACTGTTGAAAATACTGATTTTATTTCCCTGCAGTTCAAAAAAATGGAACTAGAGGTAGGTATCATCCATAACACAAAACCACCAAAGTGTTTAAGAAGATATTTGAGAGCCATGTGTCTGAAGACACCTTAATCATGGAAAGTAAGTTGTGTATGATGTAACAACCTAATTAGTAATTGCACTGTAAGGACCTCCTGTCCTCTCTGACATGCTTTTGAAAATGTAACTTGCTGAAAGATGAAGCTGAGGAAGTTGTTGCTCAGAAATACCAGCCACTCTAACAAAGATATGAGCCAAAGGAGGAACAATCCCAGCAGACAGGCATGCTGAATCCCTTCAAATATGTTTACAACATCCATGGTTTCCCTGCCAAAACACCTGGCCAGGCACCTCTGCCCAACACATCTAACCTGCCCAGTCCCTGAATGCTCACACTCCCACTGGCACTGGCCAGTGCCCACCTTTATACTGATCATTTCCCCCAAATATCCCTGTTTCTGCCAGTGAACATGTTCCAGCTCCCACAGGGCTGGGCAGTTGTGGCTGAGCTCCGTGGTCCTTAGGTGATGCAGTGAGAAGCCTTTAGCTCATGTGGAGTCAGTGGAGAAAGGTGGTCACCCAGCACCTCAATTCCCATTTCTCTCCACCAACTAAAGACACCAACTGGAGGTAACTCTGGCTAATCATACTAGGAGATATGAAGAGTCAAGGCTCATCCTCTTAAGGTCAGATTGCACAGCCAGGACTTGGGCATACAAACAATGAAGTAGGTGTAGCTCTCAGAGCAGGGTGGATGCCCCCAGCCTGCACACTAGGGGTCCCTGAACACCACAGGGGTGTCCCACCAGTCCTATTACAGGTTACCAGACCACACAGCAGTTCCCACAGGAGCTCTGTGGGCTCCTGGGCACAAACAAGGAGCTCATCTAACTTGGCTAGCGTCTAAACTTAGATGCCCAGTGAAACTGCACATGTCTAAGAAGCAGATTTTCTATCTGTCTCCTTCTGAAAGTGGAACACCTCGGGTGAAAGCCAGCCTGTGTCCTGCTTTTGGCACCTGCAGTGATACCTGCACCACCACCCTGAACACTGTGGGTGCTCCTGCTCACACCTGAAGGTCTCTTGACACTGTCAGTATTATTAAATTCTTTATACTCCTTCCTTCAAAAAAACCCAAACCCTACAACAACAAAACAAAGCAAAACAAAACAAAACCAAACACAAAAAACTCCAACACACCTCCACACACACAGCCCCCACCCAGTATGGCTACATCAAATGCCCACAGGGTGGAGTCCACACCCGCAGCTACCACAGCAATCACCGGGAAGGCTGCTGGCTGCCAGTGTCACAACACTCCCCTGGATCACACTAACAACCTGAAATCAGGGATAATCACACACCAGGGTCCCTGGCTCTGCCCTGCCCCCAGACTGTTGCCTTCTCTGGATGCACAGAAGTGCTCCTTGGGCTGGAACAGGAGTAAGAAAAGCCTCTAGCCCAAACTACACAGCCTTCAAAGGGGTGACTGATCTGCCTTCCCCTCTCCATCTCAAACAGAATGTCACTTGCCATGCAAAGTAGAACCTTTTGATTTCAGTGAGACATCCAAGTCCTTCTGAGTGTATTTAAGAGTCTGAAGTGTAAGTCCCAGCAATGTTAATCTGAAAGATTTTCTGTCTGTCCACAGGTGTCTCACTGACACTGTATTTGTGTGGATTAAAATGAGATCAGTGTTTTACAGCTGAACTGCCAATTTATGCAGACAGACTGTAGTTACTTTGCAGCTCTTCCATCTCTGCATCCTACACTGTGAGATCTTTGAGGAAGAACCTTCATCTTTTCCTTTGTTCAGGGCTTAATAAAATATTCTTAACTCCTATGTAAAGCTCCTAAGTTCTAATGTAATAGAACCATGAAATAACAGCAACCTGTTTGTTCTCTGCAACAGAAATAAATTCAGCCATTACTTACAGCAGGTCTGTTTCCAAAAGCAGCATAAAAGGGTTCTGTGTTAGGATAAAACAAATTTTTGATGTCTGTCAAACACTGAACTTTAAATTTTTCTGGTTTCTTTTCTATCACCTCCCTGAAATGATAAAAAAGGGAGGCTGAATAAGTACACATGAAACACAAGACAAACCATTTTACTTTCTTCATTCAATGTTTTCACCTAGCTGGATACCCCTACAGAGCCACCACCCTTCTCCAATCCACCTTCATTTAGAAATCACAGTGCCAAGAAGGCAAAACAGCATTCCCAAGCTTACATCATGGGTCCAGGAAACAAATCCTCAGAAAGAAGGGAACTTCTACTGAAACCTACATTGTAAAAGATGGCAACAGAGCAAAGATGGGTGATTGCAGGGAGTGGATGCTAAATAAAGCCTTAGGAGCCATAAATTGTCTTCAAGTAAACTGCTTCCTGAAAATGACAGAATGATTCACAGATTACATGAGCCTTCACTGGCTATAGCTTTTTATTACTGTTGTTGTTTAAAGTACTGCAATCACTCTGTTTTAGAAGCACCTCAGCCTGTTAGGGTACTTTTGCACTCGGGGTCCTCCAACACTGCTAATTAGTAACAGTTAAGGAATAAAGGCATCTATTTCTCTCTGGTTGCTCCTTAAAGACGTAATTTGTTAATGAACAGAGGAGTTATTTCATTTCTGGGCAAAAGCCCTTTCAGAACAGCTTCTCTTGGCAATGAGACTGAACAGGTGGCAGAGTCTGGAGTTCCCATAACACAGGAAGATGCCAGGATGACATAAGGCACTCGAGAAGCTCACAATCCCACATCCTAGCACCAACACATATGTCAAAGAAGATGTGAGCAGTACTCACAGGAGTACTACAGCCCTCTGGGACAGCAGCCCCATGTGTAAATCAAAGTTGGAGAACAATGCAAAAGAGGAATAAAACCTCAGCCTCACATACACATCATCTCAGAGCCCTCAAACCCACATTAATTAAATCTATGGTTGACAATGAAGTCATTCATTTGCCACACATCCCTGCAGTCACAACAGTGCACACTGAAAGATGAGCATTCTTTTATCTAAACAAGATACAAACAAAAGAGCATCAGTTTAAATGTATTTCTAGAGGTGAGGTAACAGTAGCTACCCTTTCACTGCATCTCTTACTTAACCAATCTGAGCAGTGCACTGTGATACCTCCCTGGTCCCTTGCATTTAGAACCTGGCTGGTAAGGCCTGTAGCATGTCACTCTACCAGGAGAGAGTCTGAACAACTTGCCATTAAAAATTCTAATGAAATATATCCTGTCACAGCAGCTTTTAACAGCTTAAAATATTTCCAGCAATCACCTGACATGCCTCACTGAGTTAGGCAGAAGGCACAATATTCATCATCTGTGCTGTTATTATTCACTTCTTACAGTTCAGTGCTGAGAAAAGAACATGGTCCACACAGAGTCACTCAGTGTGGTCAGAAGTGTAAGGAGTTCCTTTCGTTTGCACGTACATTTCTTCATGACCCACCAACAATATTCCTTCACACACAAATATTTATGCCAATAGGAACACCTTCCCAGTCAAGACAAGACTGATTGCTGTTAAAATGTCCAGGTTTTTCCCACGACTTAACATGAACAGTGAAACAGATGAAGTCAGCAGGCAGTAGCCACTGGCAACCAGTGAGCACAGCTCCATGGTGAGCCCTGCCCACCAGGCAAACCAGGCAACAGGACCATCTGGGTCTAACAAAACTTCTGCCTCACCAAGTTTTGCACCGGTAGGTAAGAAAAAACCACGAGGACCCATTTCAACCACTGCCATGTACGAAGCTGATCCCTCAGCCCCCAGCAGCCCCCAAGGGTCTCTCTGCCCCCCGTGCAGCTGCAGTACCTGTGGAAAGCTGAGAACAAGCTGCTGGGGCTCAGCAGCACCGGCCCCTGCGGCAGCACCGTGCCCCGCTCGTTCACCCAGTGCAAGTAGCCCCTGGTCATGTCTGCCATCCCAATGGCTCGTGCTGAGCAGTACAAAAACTTGTAGCCATTTCTGCCAACAGAAGAAGAGAAATAAATTCTTGTAAAAATATTATAAAAGTGAGTATTTCAGCACAAATGATGTTGGGGGTTAGTTTTACATTAATCCTGTGCTGGCTGTTAAACAGACTTAGGTTTAAGCTAGACTTATTC